CCTCCACGAGAATATAGTATTCTATAGTTTTGCAACTTTTTTTTTATGGAAGGGGCCCCCTAAATTGCTTTGCCCCAGGCCCCCTGAATCCTCTGGGCGGCCCTGGCATCTGGCTGGGGTGAGGACAGAGGCTGGCACACAGGAATCTGCGTGCCCATCTTTGGTAACCATACGTGCAAATGGTTCTCAAAGGCTAGGTATATGTTGCAATTGCTTGATTTTATGTACATTCATGCACATACGCTCCTGCAAAAGCACCCGCTGACCCTGATATAGCAACTTAGGATGTAAATCATGTACATTTTAGAGCTTCTAAAGCTTTGCTTTCTCTATTCTTGCTGGAAGTAGAGCAACTGAAGCTATCATTACATTGAGTCACATTGAAGAATTCCACTTAAATCTTGTTTGCCTGATTATATAGAGCTGTGCAGTAATTTTACATGTCAGTGTAATAATAATACTGTAGTATCAGCACTTTTAAAGGACCTGCTTGTTAATTTATAAAACTTTGTATAGTTAAACCTTCCCTTCTTAGGGAAGCCCTGATTTATGAAGCCCCTGTAAATGTGGGTTCTACTGTATAAGGAACAATATATTTAATAACCAGGCATAACAACCGCATATCTTTTATTTTAATAGCAACTGCTGCATTTGCCAAGGTGGTAGCAAAAACATTTCTTATCAGTGGTTATTGCCAATTTCATACTCTTGTACACACGCTCCAAGACAAAGGTACGTGTATGAGCACACAGACACTTTTATATTATGAACTGGAATACATGGGAACATTTGGGACTCTGCTAATTATGTTTCCTGTGTTGTCGCTTTTTGTTATCATGGCTGATCTTACAGCAATTTCTGGGCTTACAACGATGTTAATTTTTGTGTTGTCTTAGGGAAGCAGGTCATTACTCACCACAACTAACGGTCCCTTGTTTTCTTGAGCCAGCGATCTCATTTCCATACTTATCAACACACCAGCATTGTCCTGTACTTCCATGACACTGAGTTGCTTTGTAATATCCTTCTTCATTGCACCGTGGAAGGAAAACACCTGAATAAAGAAAAAGGTATCCTTAGTAAATCCGAGTCTTTACAAGATCAAGCATGAAGATACACTGTAGTTGGCCTGTTTCTTGTTTACATTAAATGCCTTAATATGGCATAAATTACAGATGGAGCCACCTGGAATGGTTCTGGTTTTACAAAATGTCCTGGATCAGGTTCTCAATTTGCAAAACCGACACTCAAACTGTGGATTGTTTGACCCAAGCTCCCATTTTAACTCCATTTCCATATATATATTTGTACCTAGTGTTGTTGACTTCAGTTCATTTGTTGCCCATTTGGGGAGAGAGAGAGAGAGAGTGTGTGTGTGTGTATACACCTCTATCCCGATATAACGCTGTCCTCAGGAGCCAAAAAAATCTTACCGCGATATAGGTGAAACCGCGTTATATTGAACTTGCTTTGATCCACCGGAGTGCGCAGCCTCGCCCCCCTGGAGTGCTGCTTTACCATGTTATATCCGAATTCGTGTTATATCGGGTCGCGTTATATCGTGGTTGAGGTGTATATATATATATATATATATATATATAGTTTTAACTGAAAACATTTGCATTGGTTCAAATTCCAGCCAGTGGTCCTGATTTCTGGACCACCTGTAAGATTTTCTCCTTTTTGATTAAAAGTAGTGCCATTTTAAAGTGAAAATATACATTCTGGACTTCTAAACGTGGCCTCCCATTCTTATCTCTCGCAGAAGCTTTTTATGTTTTCTTTCTTTCAAACAGATTCTTGATCTCATTGCGGCCCCAAGCCTAGCAGCCTCCATCTCCCTTAGTGGTAGTAATACGTGGCACGTAGAGAGCACTTTGTACCCAAGGATCTCAAAGCACTTTACAAATATTAATGCATTTAGCCTCACGACACACCTGTGAATTATTTAAGTGTTATCATCCTCATTTTCCAACCAAATCATCATCTGTTCACCGATGTTCTGCAAGCAGAGAAAGGCTACATTTGTGGAGTAAATTATTCACTATGAATTATTCCCTCGGCACTACTTATCTATAAAGTTGAACTTCACACATTAAAGCAGAACTAAAAATATCTTCACTATGCAAACAAAGGGCTGAAAAATGTAACTTCAGCAAACAAAGTTATTTAAGCATAAGGAGGAAGGGGGGATCGAAAGGCACAAATGGTATTTAGGAGCCTAACTTACACTGAAATCCATTTGTGTCTTTCAAAATCTCTCCCGAGATGTCTTGCCAAATCCCTGATGGTTTGAGGGAGTTTTATCTGGGATTGGGAGCTCGTTCAGAGAGAATGAGCAGGCACTCCATGCATCAGAAGAAGTGGGTTTTTTACCCACGAAAACTTATGCCCAAATAAATCTGTTAGTCTTTAAGGTGCCACCAGACTCCTCGTTATGTTACTATCTGAACATTTGATGAGAATGTACATTTTCCTTGTTGTAAGGCTGCCCTGAGCATGGGATGGTGGCTAGATAGTGCTCTAGACACAGCCCTGTGTAAGGGATGGTGCATTAGTTGCACTGTTCAGGAGGAGTCCAGAGTAGAGCTGGGACTCAGAGATCCACCTCTGAGACACAGTTCCTCTTTTCCCCTGGGGAGGGGAGTATGCTGTATCAGCCCTTTACAAGATGTAGCATATGCCCCTGTTCTCCTGTCCAGTGCTTCTGGGGAGAGGCGGCAGAACAATTGCTCAATACTCTCCCTGTTCCTTTCCAGCCACTTGCTCACAAGAGCACTGGCTGTGCATGGGCTTTGCTGTGCTGAGAATCCAGACAAGGACTGGGATAGCCCTAATGCAACCACACAGGATTGGGATTTCTTAATTCTCTTTACTCCCTCTGTGTGCACTGGTGCCAGCTACCATACACCCTTGAATGATTAACATCTCGATAGGGCTCCTTTCAGGGTTAAAATGCCATTCTTACACCTTGTCCTCCCATATGTAGCCCTCCCCAAGACAAAATTATTTCCATGTTTCATTTTAAATTTCCCTTTTTTCTAGTGTTTATCATATGAGTCCTTCCACAAGATTATAATTACACCTGCAAGGCATCAGCCACCTGCTTGCTATTTAATTCATACTAAATTTAAGTATAACTCCAGATTTACTAGAAGTATTAAAGAATCACTAATGCTTGAGCTTTTCAGGGAGAGACAATAGGATACTGAGGCCAAACAAAAAAATAACCAAAGATTTGTCTCATAACAAAACCATTGCACATTAGCCTTTCAGAATGTGGTGCATTCTTGTTTCCTGAGACAAGAGAAGCCAGTACTATTTCTGCCACAACTTTCAACAGATATAATGCAAATGTGCTTCCATACAAAAATCCCACTTGTCCTTGGAGATCAGTTAGCTTCATTCCCAGGGGAGGTCTGTATAGACACTTTCCATTCTCTGCCGGTTGCTTCTGTTCCAGGCACAGAAAAACAACCTCTTATTGTCTTAAATGATTTTTGAGAAAGTATCTTTTCTCTTTGTCAATGAGCCCAGTGATTTACTGGTCACACAATACTTACTTTTCTGCTTCAGGGTATGGAGCAGCCCTACAGATTGTTCATATATGTCAAAAAGGCGATTACTACTACATTTTCCATGGAAAAAATGAACGAGAAAACATTGCCCAAATGCTATGCAATTACTTATATAAAAGACATATAAATGGGAAGTTGGTCATATATACATTATGAATCTCTGAATTTACCATCTCATCCCACTGCAGATATTAAAGTGGATGTCTAATTGTTAAATGTAGTTCTGAAACATGGGAACAGTAACATGTTCTATATCTGACCTGATCTCAGAGAACATTTTCACACTTATTAACTTTGCTATTTCAAGCAAGCAGATGCAGTGGTCTTAGCAAGTTCATGTACCAGGACAATTGAAAGGAAGATGAAAGATTATGATCACCCGAGACACATCTTCTTTATTTACCCACAATCCAATAATAGCGTGGACACGTTCAACCATACGGTTTTCCAAGTTCACTCACTGCTCAGTCACTTGTTTCAATATTGATCCAGACGGACTTTCCATAGTCACACTCATTTCCTTTCTTATTTAAAGACTGAGACATGCATTGGACTAGACAAACCTGAAGAAGATTACAGAGGATCAGCTCCTCAGCGGGTGTAAACTGATGTAGCTTCATCAGAGTCAATGAAACTAGTGACCCTCAGCTGGTGTAAATGCATTGAATTCACTGAGTCTATAGCAATTTATACCAGCTAAGGATTTGGGGGGAGGGATAGCTCAGTGGTTTGAGCATTGGCCTGCTAAACCCAGGGTTGTGAGTTCAATCCTTGAGGAGGCCACTTGGGGATCTGGGGCAAAAATCAGTACTTGGTCCTGCTAGTGAAGGCAGGGGGCTGGACTCGATGACCTTTCAAGGTCCCTTCCAGTTCTAGGAGATGGGATATCTCCATTAATTTAATTTAAAATTTAATTTAATTTGACTCCAAATAATGATTGGTGCATTATATGTATATATACACAAAAATATTCTTGTGACTTTTTCTGAGAAACTCTAACATCTCCCCTGGCCTTTGAAATTCAGCATGTATCATTTGTGCAATGTTCACTCAAATGCTTTTCATGTGGTGCCA